TGGAGGGATTATATCTCTCGGCTGGCCTGGGAACGCCTCGGTGTCCCCCCCGAGGAGCTGGTGGGGTTAGCTGGGGAGAGGGAGGCCTGGGTGCCTCTGTTGAAGCTGCTGTCCTCGCGACCCGAACCCCGGACAAGCGGAAGATGATGGATGGATGGATGGACTAAATATTTCTGAGTGTAATTCCACAGTGTTGTACATATATTTATATATCCACTCAGTTTTTATTCTATTGTTTTTATTTTTGCTGCTCTATTCTTGTACTGTCCACTTTCTGCCTTGACAGTCTAAATTTCCCATTTGTGGGATTAATAAAGTTTTATCTTATCTTATGAACCGGCCTATAGTCCGTGTCATATGGCATACTGCTGTATTTTGAGATTCACCAAGAATTTGCCCCCCTTAGCAAAATTCAAAATGCTAGTGGTTTTTTTTTTTTTTTTTAAACAGTAGCATTTATATATATATATATATATTATATGGGATAATTCAGAACAGCATGAACAATTAGATATACAGATACCTCTGGCCATGGACTGGCAACCTGGCATACCAGGAATTTCCCAGCAGGTCGATGCATATGTGGACCCCCCGTTCAACAGAATATTACCCCTCATTGAAGTTCTGGCTATGCCTGCAAAGGCCACAGACATGCGCAGTCACACACATGGACGCTCAAAATTTCCTATTGACATAAAAATCTAGCTGCACACACAAAAACCACAGAAATTCTCAGCAGACCCCTGGCGACAATTTATTTGACTTCCTCACATACAGAACCAAAAGTGCACCCAGAGAAGTGAAGTGTCGGCATCGTTCCTGAAAAAGTGCCAATGCAGCCAATGTAGGACTAAACTTCTCCCGGAGCCTGAGGTTGACCTGGGTAGGGGGGCTCCTAAGGTGGCCATATGAAAGGTTTTTTGGATCCAAAACAGAAATGAGAGGGTATTTGAAATGAGTGAACATCCATAATATGTTAGGGCAGTGCAGTAGTGGCCCAATGGTTAGGGAAGCATGCTTATGATTGAAAAGGCTGCTGGTTCTAATCCCTGAATAGTGAGGTACCACTCAGGAACATACTGCCCCAGGCACTGCTCCCAGGATTTGGAAATGTGTGTATGAATAGTTGCTTGACAAGAAGAATTGCAAAACAAAAAGAGCAGCGAAATGAAGTGCACAATGGAGAAAGAATGAGCCTGATTAGATCTACATTTCTTCAGGTATCTTATGTAAGGGATTTTATAACATGGATGTCCAGCACAAAATCAGTCCACTGCAGAAAATCAGTGTTTTGAGGCATCACTGTACACATTTGACCAGTAATAAGTAACTAGATCTAAACCACATGCAAAATATATTGAGCTCTTATGGTGAAATAATATAACCCTAATTGCTAATAAGCTTATTGAGGAGCCTTTAAAATCCTTCCTCTTGCAGAATTTCACGTGAACACATTACAATAACAATTCTACATTAATTTTTTCAATAACCGAGAATATGTAAATAACCTTCAAACAAACCCAGCGTCCTAATTCTAGTCATTTCTAGTTCAGTATATAACCACAATACGGAACCTCGTAAGCGCAAAAAGCTTCGCGACGGCGTTTGCTCTCTTCCGACTTTATATGTGGCTCTTAAAAGAGCCTTTGGTTTCCTTTTGCAAAGCGGCAGAAGCTTTACTTGGAGCTGGTGTACTTGGTGACCGCCTTGGTCCCCTCAGACACGGCGTGCTTGGCCAGCTCGCCAGGAAGCAGAAGGCGCACGGCTGTCTGGATCTCCCTGGAAGTAATGGTGGAGCGCTTGTTGTAATGAGCCAGGCGGGACGCCTCACCAGCGATACGCTCGAAGATATCATTGACGAAAGAATTCATGATACCCATGGCCTTGGAAGAAATACCCGTGTCCGGATGAACTTGCTTCAGGACCTTGTATACGTAAATGGCGTAGCTCTCCTTCCTGGACCTCTTGCGCTTCTTTCCCCCCTTTCCGGCAGTCTTCGTCACTGCCTTCTTCGAGCCCTTTTTAGGCGCAGACTTCGCTGGTTCAGGCATGTTTTCTACTTGCTGTTAAACACAAGCAATACCAAACAAGATAACTCGACCTCCTTATATAATGGTTATATCCAAATCAGGCAGGAAACCTCGGAAAGCCTTTTCATTGGACAGCTAAAGACCGCCAAATGACATTCAAATTCTATTGGCTCAGTTCTACTACTCTCACGAAGCCCTTTTTCTTACACACAGACATTTCGCACCCAGAAATTCACAAAGTAAAATGGTATTATTTTAATGCGTTTTATTTTATTGCCTTATTTAGCCACTTTAAGGTAGGCTGACTTTCGAGCACAGTTAACCACCACCATAGACATAAAAAAATCAGATGTGCTTCTCCCAAATTGTTGGCCTCATTAAACATATGTCGGTCCCTCCCAGATTTCGCGTTTCTGCCTCACCTGCAGAGAAGTTGATTTCTGCTAACAGACAAC